ACACGTGCCGCCCTTTTTGTGAATCCGCACTGTGCGGGTTCGTCGGGGGTCATTTGACCTTACTTCGTCATGAGGGTCAGTGTGGCTTTGGCGAAGGCAGGCACAGAGCCGCATCATCCTAGGAGTAAAAGTAGCTACAAATGCTACGGGCCCCGCACATTCAAGGGCCCCGCGCTAAACGCTTTCAAGCTATCAATTCCGGTTCAGTGATTCTGCACTTGCTCTATTACTATAGCACTATACTGCCTCCAACGTTTATGAACGACTGGGTGTTTAAGGTTAGCGATTTGTCGTATTATCTGACTGTATAGCAAATGAAAAAATACAATCACTTTACTTTGCAAGTTAATAATATGTGTTTTAATGTTTTTTTTATTTAGGGCCCCTTTTTAAGATATGCTACAGGCCCCGCGCTAGCTTCATCCGGCACTGGGCAGGCAGCATAAGTGAACGTGGAAGTATGGGATCAGGGTGCGATGTAACAGCGGATGAATGATCGGAACTGCTCTCTGCTCTCAGCTAACCACGTGTACTCCCTGCAGCCTTTAACAAACTGCGATGCGGGGTGGACACCCGCGCAAGTGCTCTTCGGGTTCAAAATCCTGTGTCTGCTCTCTAACATCTCACGAGATCGGGCGCATTTCAGGGCGGTTTTGTCACAGGCGATGACTGACATACCTAAGGCATAAAGGTAGATGATGTGTTTTCGTTATGCGCAGCCACTGGGCATTCGTTTCACGAGGGGTATTCATTCTTATTTAACAAAAAAATCTCAAGTTGACAGCAGAACAATAAAAAAAGCATCGTACTTGTTTTTCCAGAGTTAAAAATACATTTCAGCTTGATACCATCTGACAAACACCCTCCTTTTTTTGTTTTCCCCGCCGCCAAGGCTTTCACATCCACTCCACCACCCCCACAACGGTTGCGCAAGAGAGATGACATATAGGTGAGTCTCTGCCGTGTCACAAACAAGCATGACTGATCCCGCCGGGGGTCATTTGATTCCACACGCCGCCTTTATATACATATACATTTCAGGCTTATATCGCCGACAACCCTTTCCTGCAGGTGGCAATGTGGTTGTGTACATTTTTATATATACATTGCCAGGTGGAAGTCCTTCACGAAAGCCTACGGATGTGATATTGGCGGCCAGTGAACAACACGTGGTTTAACCTACTTCATTAATTACAGCCCTTGGTTCAGCCACTGCTGGATGAAGGCCACCCCCCACCTCTATCCCCACGCCGTATAGGTGCTGTTTGACCAAACTTCACGAAGCTGGTCAGCGTGGGTTGGTGAAGGGCAGAGGGCAGGCCCGGTTTGGATATCACTCGCAAACTTGATCGGAGCCTTCGCCATGGTCAGGAATTGGCATGGCCGGGATTCGAGCTCGAGTGACCTCTGGGGGGGGGGGGGGCACAGCGCAGCGCTCCATCACCACCAGCATCGCCGCTGAGAGTGACATCTCCAGCACGAAGTGACACCTGGTGGCGAGAATTCTTAATTCTCAAACAACATCGCGGTTTAAAAAGATTGATTCGATGCAGCGCCGAAATGTAATTGCCTCTCGGGACACTGCGTTCGGTCATGATTTGGTGAAATGTGTTATAATCCGAGGCATTATTGACAACTCCTCGATCCACAATCTTGGTGGCAGGTATCATCGGTGTACAAGGGAATCACAATTGCTGTACCGTTTCTCGTGTTAATATACTGTTTATGATACCGTATTCGTTAAAACATTCCTCAAGTGCGCGTAAGGACATGTTTGGCATATGTCAAGTGGTACACGCGACCCGTATTGAGACTAACCAGTACGTTCCAGCCGTTTTCAAGCCCCGATTGTGACAAAACCTCCATGCTGATATCTACCGCAGGTTTTAAGCGGACTGGTTGGCATTGTAGTCGTCTGGTGTGACCTGTCGCTGTTATGGCCTTCGCCGCACACACACACACACGCGCACACCTGCAAACTCGCTCTAAGACAGCACCTGTGTAACTTTCTCCACATCTCCGTGGTTATCGTGGAGACTGATGAGTCTAAAACGACTCTTGAGGTTGTAAGATCATCATCATTGGCCGTCGTCTTGTCAGCACCACCCCTCAATGCAGCTCGTAGAGCGATCGTATCGCTCGATCTCCGTGGTGGTCGTGTTCTTGGGTGCGTTCCGTCCTTTGGCTGCCGTTCTGTCTCAAGTCTCGTCCATTGGCCCTCATCCCTTCTAGCCCTGGCGTCTCCTCCCCAAGCACGTCCCTGATTTGTCTTCGCACACTGATCCACGTGTGTCTTTTTCATCTCTGCTTAAGTATTTTCGGATAGCATTTTTTTTTAATGTCTTTCAATACTGTATTAAACATGGTCCGTATTGTACAAGGCTTTATCGGTTTGGTGTTTTTGGCCATTGTTCATTTAGTTCATCCAGCCAGAATCAACACAGACCTATCATCATTGCTCTCATCATCAATTAATCTCAGCATCATCCACTCTGGGATCAGTAAGCTAATTAAAAACTACAAACTTTTAATTTTACCAGGTAAGACCCACTGAGCTATACAGCTCTTTTTCAGAAGCGACGTGGCCACAAATGATAGCTCAACGAAGGTGCTCATCATGTGGACATTTAAAGCAGCCAAACATTCTGAACGCATGTTTCTAAATTTGGACGGAAAAACCGGAGGACCCAGAGAAAAATCCACACGACCACGGGGGGAGAACATGCAAACTCAAATATAAAGACGTCGGGGTGGGCATCGAACCCATGCCTTCTTGTATACCAAGCGAGGTATTAACATCTCGCCGCCCAAACCCATCAACACCTCGCAAGACCGCAACACTTGGTGGAAATTCATCGGAAAATGTTTACGGTAAAATCAGTCTGCACCAAATCTTGTTGGATCACGGCGGGTAAGCTGGGTTGAGCCTGGTTCGTTCTCGGTTTGGGATACTGCCTCGGAATACCCAGCGTTGTAAGGCTTAAGATTGCAAGGAGATGATGAATGTGTCAGCACAGCCATGGATTCTTGTTTCCATCTGTGCAGAGCTGTGTTACCCACTGATGTGTTTGTGCGTGTTGTCTCTGAGTAAAAGAGTTTTACTACCATACGAAGCCAAGCGCTTATTCATGGATTTCAGCAAACGTCCTATGACAACAGAACCTTCCTGAAATCTTTTGTTTATAATTATTTTGGAAAACTCACCTGGTTAAATAGACTGTTGGTATTATGCTGACATTAAAAAAAAAACACACACACACAGACTGGTCTCCACCATGGCAATGTGCAATTTTTGTTCAAGGAATAGGAGCACAAACTCTTTTGATCACCGGGTGAAGTGTGACCCCGAGACGTTGGCTTATCTTGAAGGGCATTGTGGAATGTGAAAGTGCTCTGATACACCCTTCACAACAAGAACCGCCACTTCCCACTAAGCGGCGGTGACGTCCCCACGGCGCTTGTGCCAGGCTAGTTGCATGTTGACGTGCCTTTACAACAGGAGCACACACACACATACACACGCGTGCACGCGTTACGTGTGTGTGTGTGCACGGTCCATATGGATGGGAGCGGTGGCGCAGTGCTTAGCGCGCCGCACTCCGAACTTGGCGACGATTATCTTAACCGGTCCTGGGCTTTCTCCTAAGTCGACTCAGCCTCAAATGAATACGAGGGGCCGGGCGGGGTGCTGGCCACCCACGGTTCCCCGTCGTAGGTGCTACTCGCTCACAGCAATTTGCACCACAAATGTTGTTGAGGCTACACGGGAGGTGGGGTGGGGGGTGGTCTAAGTCTAGGTGAGTGGAGCCACCTCCTGGCGGAGCGAGCTCTGTTCAGTTCAGTTTACTTTGGTATAGCCCTGTGAGCCATCCGGCTCTTGAATCGGGTGCAACCACAACAAAAAAAAACAAAAACACGAACAAGAAAAACATCTTAAAGTGAACGCGACACCGTCGCCAGCTTCGTCTTCCTCTCCAATCGTTTGCGGTCACGTTGAGAATCAGAATATTTATTCATACTGGAGGAATCCGATGAGCTGTGAAGCTCTACAATTTTTTTGCCGTAATGTTCAGCAGAGATCGTGCTGCTCGCTGCAGACAATCGCGGCTATCGCGATTTTCACCTGAAGACGGGCGCTAGTGTTGCGTTCGAAACGTCGTGATTTATGTTGTTTTATTTTCTTCCTACCTACGTGACTTTAACGAAAGAACCAAAGAGTATGGATTCCTGCAGTCACGAAAGCTTCGAAGTTCAGAATCAAGTTCAGAAAAAAACATCTTCCGGAACAAATCTTCCAGAAGTTATCTTCCGGAAGTTTTCGTCCAGAAGGTATCTTCCAGAAGTTATCTTCCAGAATGTATCTTCCAGAAGAAGACTTCCGCGAGTTATCTTCCAGAAGTTGTGTTTCCCAGAAGTTATCTTCCGGAAGTTATCTTCCGTAAGTTATCTTCCAGAATTTATCTTCCAGAAGAAGGCTTCCGCGAGTTATCTTCCAGAAGTTGTGTTTCCCAGAAGTTATCTTCCAGAAGTTGTGTTTCCCAGAAGATATCTTCCAGAAGTTATCTTCCAGAAGTAGTCTTCCAGAATAAGTGTTCCAGAAGTTATCTTCCAGAAGAAGACTTCCGCGAGTTATCTTCCAGAATTAAGTTTTTCCAGAAGTTATCTTCCAGAAGTTATCTTCCAGAAGTTATCTTCCAGCTGTAATCTTCCAGAATATGTCATCCAGAAGTTATCTTGCAGAAGTTATATTCCAGAAGAAGACATACGCGCGTTATCTTCCAGAATTCGGTTTTCCAGAAGTTATCTTCCAGAAGAAATCTTCCAGAAGTTATCTTCCAGAAGTTATCTTCCAGCAATATTCTTCCAGAATATGTCATCCAGAAGTTTTCTTCCAGAAGTTATCTTCCAGAAGTAATCTTCCAGCAGTATCCTTCCAGTATATCTCATCCAGAAGTTATCTTCTAGCAGATCTCTTCCAGAAGATGTCTTCCTTGGCGTTCATAAACCCCCACCTTCTTCCGGTGGCGGTAGAGCGGGGAGGTCCGCGCGGTGCATTGATGTTGTTAGGGTCAGGTGCTGCCACTCTTGCTGGTGGCGGGGGTCGACAGTGCACACAGCTCTGACTCCCGTAGCATTTAACAGTTATAACTTAAACCTTTTAACGTCTTACCAAGTTTAATTAATACACCCGTCGCACCTTCCCCCCACCCCTCTCACAGCCGCCGATGAAGATCTTTGCAGTAGCACTCATGTCTTCGTTGCGTCAACACGGTACGCTGAGTCAACAACAACAATAACAACATCGTCATCATCGCAGTATATTTGTTGTTTCCTGTGTTATTATAATGAGTGGTCGTCGACGTCTGTCTCGGATAATTTGAATACGCGTTTTAAGTCGTGGCAGCGAGCGCGCGGTTATGGCTGTTGTGTTTTACAGTACATCGGTCAATCGTTGTGAAACTCCACATTCCGATGGCGGGAGAGTCCTGTCACCTTGACTCCATCATCGTCATTGACGTCGTCGTGCCGTTACTTCATGCAGCGTCTGCGTCGCTTGTTCCACTGTGTGCTTCAATCACACGTTATTGAGTCGGCGTGCAGTGTGTTACATTGAACACATAAAATGGAACGCGAGGTGACAGGTGGCGGCCGCCGTCTTGTAGTTAGACTGCGAGAAAGCAGCGCGTGCGTTGGATTTACACGCGCAGGCTAAGCATTACGTTTGGAGCGGACACTGTCGCCTCTCAAGGGCTTTTGATGGTCCATGGCCGGGACTAACAGCAGAGCGGGAGCCAAAGGAGGAGGAGGGAGGGAACGCGCCCAAGAGGACGTCGACCCGCGGAGATGGAGCAAACGAACGGGATGTTGATGGGCTTCGTGTGCGTTAGGAGCCAGATTTTAATTCGTTCCGTCCCGAGCCCCGTTGATCAAAGGAGGTGTGCAGCGCCGTCTCTCGAGCAGCAGTGAAATGTGCGAAGCGTGCCCAGGAGGTGGCGGTAGTAGTCCAGGAGGAGAAGGATGTCTATCGGGTGTGTGTGGAATTGCGTCTTAAAAGTTACCGGCGAGACGATAAACCCTCACTTTAAACAAATATATATAACCATACAACCACGGTATGTCCACCTACGACCGTACGAGCTATTCAACGAGGCGGTAAACCTACATCACCATCTTCATACCTGTCAACCCCTTATATCAGTGCTGCCTACATTTTTTTACAGACCAATTCAGACCTTGTTGGTTCACCCCGTGCCCCCTTTAATTCACAACGTTCATCCTACGAAGTCCCATCACAAGGGAGAAACAAACAAATAGACACAAACACATTTTGCCCGTATTGAAACGGCTGTACACCGTATGGACCTGAAAACTCAATTTCCCTGCACAAGAATACGGGGTTATACCGTATGGGTTGACACGGTACGCATTCGACTCGACTAACGCCACTTAAACCCAATGCAGGAGGGAGGCTCTCCCAAGCATCGGGTCGGTATCAGATGTAGATTTCGCACAGTGCCCCAATATGTTTAGGCCACCTTAAAAAACAATAGTATGCTGTATCGGATACGGGTTGTTGTTTGACCATACTTCACCACGCTGGTAAGTGCAGAATATTAAACTAGGGTCGCTGGGTTCATGAGGGCAATGAATCAGAATCTGTATCCTGGAGAAATCCGATGAGCTGTGAAGCTCTTTTGTTCACAGATGTCTAGGGAGGAGCGGGTCAGAAAGTTACAAAGACAAATAAAGTTCCAACAACGAACACAAACCTCAACCCCCTGTAGACCACAAACACAACGTTTATTAAACCTGCTTACAGAATGCTTATTAATGCTTAGTATACGTTACTATAATAATTAGATACACCAACTTATAAACCATGACAATTCAAAGAGATGATAACATTGTTTAATTAGGCCACGTTTCTACAGCAATGACGGGCGTAAAAGCGCGTTTATGAACCTGCTTGCCCGTGAACACAAATAAATCGCGCACTCTATATAAAACGCCATGTGTGAAACGTTGACTTAGGTTGCCATTCTAAATAGCAATCGGTAAAACAAGGAGAATCAATCGCTGGTGCTTTAGCCACGCGATTAAGGGCCACTATTAAACCATGCGATCCATGCAAAAAGACAATAAAACACAACTGTTCTTAACAACCCCGCGTATATATTCCAAAAGTATTATGGTTAGCGGTGGTAAAATTGTACCATATAAACCGACGTGCTTTTGAGGTTTGCCTCATCTGTGAAACTGCCCTGGCTCCGGGTGTGTCGTTGCGGGTGCCCGTATTGTGACCAGGGCCGCAAGTCATCACGTAACTTTGTCGCAAAAGAGTCAAATGAAGGTTGTGACAACCTGTATGATCTACCAGACGGGTGAGACCGTGTTTGTAAGGCTGCACTGTCAAATGCTGGTAGCGCATCTCAGAAACTGTACCACCTGGCTGCAACTTTTAAGAGGACACGCTAAGGTCGAGGTCATTCGTGAACTCTGCTTTCGGGTACCAGAAGCATTGACAGCATTTAAATTTTGACAAGATAGATCTTAGTGGCCGCAATTGCGCGCAACTAAAAATATTTTTCAGTGACATTTCAATCACAATCGTCATCATAAGCCGTGATCATTCCACTTGTGGATGCGGATGAAAGTCTTCCCAAGCTGTTGCCATCTCTCATGGGCTTGGCGATGCAACCAGCCATGCAGGGCCAGCACTTGAGTTGATTTCACTGCTCCATGTCCATGGGGGTTCGTCCTCTTGACAGTCTGTGTTCCCTAACCTTGAAAACACCGATAGTTCAAATCATATCCCCAACATTTTGGGTCAATAGAAGCGCGATTAAAATAGTGTCTCCCAGAGATTGTGGTTACATTTTAGAAAAATAATTTGCTTAAAGAAAACAACATCACAAAAGCTGGAAAGTGCACAAAGAAGTGTGTGTGTGTGCAGAGATTCATGCTTTGAATTACATTACGGCGACGGAAACATTAACACACTGATTAGAGAACCTACTGAAGCATATGGCATCAAACAATTAAGAAAAGTCAGCGGGCAATGTGCCTTGCGCACAATAAACGACTTTGAATGAAATGAACGGAGGAGCGAATGCATACATTTACAAACAGCTATTAAAATCAAAACGCCTCCCGGCAACTTCGCCTTACATCGACACACAGCTTCATGACGACGAAGGCCTTAATGTCAATGACGATGATTATGACGGCGATGATGCAAACGATGTTGGTGTTGATTTTTTAAATTGTTCGGTTTGATGATGATGGTGGCGCGGATGGAAATGATGACGCAAATGAATTTGGTGATGATGGGTTGTGATGGATGTAAACTATTTTGATGGTGATGATGCAAACTCTGATAGTGTTGATTATACAAATGATGCAGATGATGATAACGACAAGGATGAAGGCACAGGTGCATGGCAGTGCAAGGCAATGATGTAGGGTGGAGGAGGGAGACCGTCGTGGGGGGGGGGGGGTCTGCACAGCTGTGAGTGGGGCGCAGTCTCTGGGGGACTGTTTTGATTCGGCATTAGCTCCGTGGGGGGTCTCAGGGGGGCTTTCGAATAAAGAGTTGAAAGCCTTCACATCCGGCCATTACCATAATCTGAGGTTATTGGGGGGGTGGGCGGTGGTGTTGGGGGGGGTGGTGGTTTCATCAGAAAACTAAAGGACTTTCGCCACCACGTTTTGGCGGTGTATCTGTCCCACGGATTGTAATTTTTATTTGTCCCTTTCGGCGAAAACCAAAATTCGAAAGTGTTTTGCAAAACGAGATTAAATATTGAGGCTGAATAAATTTAACACATCTTAAGCCAACTCCGTTGCGCATCAAGCCCAGTTTTGTACTTCGGATTGTAAATCAGAAATTAAATATTTAATTATTCCAACCTTTGGAAGCTCGAAAGGGTTATTGGTGCCGTAAACTTTGGGTCCCATCCCTATGTGGGTGCGTGTGCGCGCACGAATTCGTGCCAGTGCGCGTGATTGTGTGTGTGTGCGCGCGCGCGCGTGCATGCATATACTTGTGTGTTTGTATGTGGAAGTGGCCGGTTGCCCGGCAACGTTGTTAGCTGGACAAACCAACTTGTTGAGCACGCTGCGAAAACTTGTTCCGAACGATTTGTCGATTATGCGCAACTCCATTCGCCGCTGCTTCCTCGCACCCGCCGCCATTGTCCGCCGCCACGCCTCGTGCGTCGCCATGGCAGCCGGCGGCCCAACGCTGCCGCCGTGGCAACCGCGCAGCCCGGGCAAGGGATTGTGGGGGTTGAACTCTGACCTTAGGACCTTGTGGTTTCATCCAGTGACGTTTCTGCCACCCCCCCACACACACACCCTGCACACCTGGCTAGGCAGTGCAGTGCTATCAACTATGGTGGGGATCTCGATGAACTCCTTTAAATATAATTGAGAATTGCTACCGTGTCTTGCGAGAAATGTTGTTCAGCGGCTGCTGCAGCGGCAGCATATGCGTGCAATTGTTTACTGTCGAACTTTAGTGCACTTGGTTTTTCCGCAATTTTATTGTTACTAGGTCATATCTGGTGATTTGGCTAATTTGCAGTGGTGCCCAATTGCAAATATCAAACAAAACATATTTACATATGTGGTGAGTGTTATTGTTATTTATTAGGTGTTTTCGTGTGTGAAAGTATCATTGCAAGCTACGTTGGCAAACTTTATCGCAACTTTGATGGTATAAGGTAACCTCCTCTAAATTTGATGAAATATCAGCCGGCAAACATTTTATTTGGGCCTTCGATGAAATAATCGAAATTACAGTTTGGCACAATGTCCCTTTGATGGCAGACACGTCGACGCAATGTGCGAGTCTCTAAACTCACGATTAAATAAAGCAGTCACCCGTTAAATTTTGATTTAAAGCTTTCGTGACTGCAGGGATTCATATTCTTGGTTCTTTACCGAGAGAACCAAGAATGTCAGTCACCCTTTGTGCGACTTAACCTTAATAATCAGTGACTAAGTTTATTGCTTAATAACCATTAATCATCTGGGGCTACACTGCGCCGGTCTTGCCTTCTGTAGTCGCACCAGTTGTGGGAATCGCGCAATTAACTTTCCTCACATTGTCAACCGCGAGTTGACGTGCCATCACCGCTTTAGCCAACAAACCACAACTCGGGCCCAAGTTTTAAGCGCCGTCATTTAGCCCAGCTGAGACCCCGTCATCGTCGTAGGTGCACGATAAGACGATTGCCGGGTTGGTTCGTTGGTCGGTTTGCTCGAGCTGACCAAGGTGCGACTCGTGAGAGTTCCACAACCGTGTAGCGACGGCCAGGTTGGGGGAAGGGCAGAGCAGGGCCCGGTCGCGTCCCCCATTACATGCCGGGCACATCCCCAGCTCCTGCCGCCGCCCGTTGTCCTCGAGTCCTTGATTGATGCTCCGAGTGTCAAACAGCAGCTCTGGGAATAAATAAAAAGAAAGCCGGGGTCGTGGAGACAATGAGCTGAGCGGCATTTGAACTTCAAACATTTACCCCCTCGCACGCCACCCCCCACAACATCTACACACCCACCCAGGCCGACCCATCGACCGACTGACCCACCCACCCATCCACCCACCCACACACGCATCGACCGACTGACCCACCCACCCGCCCACCCCTTCCTCGTACCCATGGACAGCAAAAAAGGTTTGAAAGGCATTTGTCCAAAGAATTTGCCATCTTTGAAGAAGCACATCTGATTTTGCGATTGGTGGTGCGTATCCTCCTGACTTATTCTGAAAGCCGTTTGTGTGGGAATATTCATTCACTTTTAAATGTTGCGGCCGTGGTATTTTTCGTGCATGCTTGTCGCGTTCTGTTATAAACATCGGCGCTATCTCAATATATGCGCGCGGCCGCCCTAGAGCTTTGTTGTTTGTGAGTAGCTTAACATAATGAGAATTGATGTTCCCATGTTTCCACGCTATTTTCAAATTACATTGTGGCAGGTGAATTCGGGTTTCTCACGAAGAGCAATTGCATGTATTCTGGCTTCGCTGCACTTTTTTTGTGGTACACCAACCTTAACTGCAGGTGGTGGGCCCAAAATTGTGTTTAAGTTTGGCTTTGAAATTCAATTCACGAAACGCTCTGCGCCGCAGCATCGACAGAAACACTCAAATTTTGATTTAAAGCTTTCGTGACTGCAGGGATTCATATTCTTGGTTCGTTCGGTAAAGTCACGTAGAAGGGAAACAATTCTAGATTTGAAGCTTTCGTGACTGCAAGGATCCATACTCTTTGGTTCTATACGGTAAAGTCACGTAGGTAAAAAAAAATAAAAACAACAAAAATCACGACGTTTCGGCCACAACACAAGTGGCCTTCATCACCTGATGATGTGGCCGAAACGTCGTGATTTTTGTGGTTTTATTTTTTTACCTACGTGACTTTACCGAAGAGAACCAAAGAGTAGGGAAACAATTGTTTTATTGTTTTATATTTTTGTTATTTTATTGTTTCCCTTCTACGTGACTTTACCGAAAGAGCCAAGAATATTAACACTCAAGTTAAACGTAAGCGCCATGTTGGCACTTGCGTACAAAAAAGATCCAGTACACCTCACCACAGCTGTCGTTAACATCTTTTTTATTGGAAGAAGTGTTGCACAACTTGTTAGCCTACTGTATGGTTTCTGTTATACAGCAGTGTTAATGTGGGCGTTGATGAGTTATTTTTGGTTTCATAAACCATGATAAATCCGCTGCTGAATCAAGGTCTCGCCAAGGAATTTCCTTCTCTCGTAGTCCTGTGATGCAACTTTTTGGGGTGCCACGATGGCGAGGCATTAACTACCTCGCCTGGTATGCAGGAGGTCGTGGGTTCGATCCCGACCCTGACGCCTGTATATTCGGAGTTTGCATGTCTCACCGTGGTCGCGTGGATTTGTCTCAGGGTCCTCCGGTTTTTCCTCCACATTTAGAAACATGCATTTCGAGTATTTGGCTACAATATATTCCTACTTGATAAGCCATTTTGTTGAGTGATAATTAGTGGCCAGGTCACTTCTGAAAAAGAGCTATATAGCCGAGTGGGCCTTACCTGGTAAAATAAAAAATAGTTTAGCTTCATAGTTGAGTTAATTTGTAAGTCTCATTATTTGCACTTAACAAAGGGAAACTTTAGCAGACAAATTGAGAGTCCTATGGAGATTGACTCTTCCCAAAATAACATGAAGAAATTGGCACACTAGCTCCAGTTAAGTGTACACCTGGAGCCCTTCTCCAAAGCCACTGCTGGATGAGGGCCTCACCACACCGTGCAGATCATGGGGCTAATTTAACCTTACTTCACCACTCTGGTTAGTGTGGGCTGGGGAAGGTGGGGAGCATAAACATTGGAGCATAGAAGTGCGTACAGCGAGCAATGGATTTGGCTACACTGCCCTCTGTTGACAACGTAACTAGTTACATACCAAGACCGCATTATTGCAACGGAGACCAATTGCAGTGCATTTGCAAGTTGCAATGTTACGCGGATTGCTTGTTATGTTATGAACACTTTAAAACATAAAGGGACCGAAAACACTGCACTGACACCACCGAAAATCGCAAGCCAATTCTTCAATGCACAATCCAGCATAAGTTGCCGTATAGTACAGCACTAAACTAGGACTGCCATTCGCGTAACGTTTCTGTGCAGCTTGGAGACACCGCTAACAACAAGTCCGCATTGCCATTACTTTGCACACTGATAATTTTTTTAACTTTGGGAGCGCAGATTTTCTTTCCTTTTTCCCTTACATTTTTAATCCACCTAAAATAAATGTACCATCGTAAGCATTGCACAGGTGTCACCGGCGCTGACTGTGCGTGTGTATTTACGTCGAACTTCTTTCGCACCGTACGTAGCCAACCGTGCTAATCGGAGGTGCCGTGTGTGTGTGTGTGCACCACGTGTCCATGCAGGTGGTGTGGCGGTGCGTCAGGCCACGCGCAAGCTGTCTGCGCGGCCCACGCTTGGCAAGGCAGAGCAGCCGAACCCCATGAAGAAGCCGCAGGCATTGCCCGAGAGGAACGCGGCGGTGGTGGCGGCGGCTGCGGCGGCGAAGGTATCGGCGCCGGCGAGGACAGAGGTCAGGGGCGGCCCCCGGCCCGCTGGTGGCACGGCTGGGACGCGCTCGGAGAGCTCGCTGAGCCGTGTGCTGGGCCGACTTGCCATCACCAAGACCACGCAGCCGACGCGGTATGATTCCCGGCCACGGCTAATGCCGGTGTCGAGCGGTATCTGAACCAGTCCAGGGCTCACCCCCCCATTCACCGACCCGCATTGGTCCCGTGCCTCCAATTACCACGGTTTGCTATGTGTGGTGCGAGAGAAGTTCAACGTGCATACACACATGACCAGTGTGGTGCAGTATAGTCAAACATCCCCCATGTCCGATGTACTCTTGTTTTTTGGGAGGTATAGCAGACACATGGGAGGTATAGCAGACACATGAGGGATCTCCATGTAAGTTCTGCTGGATGACTTTTGGCACGTAGTTCCCCGATTCAGATGTCGGTGAACGTTCACTTTTGGTAAAGATGTGCCCATGTCTCCATCACCAGCAAATGTGGCAATTCACCGCGGCGCGCTGTTTCGATGGTGAACTCGAGGTATGAATCCAACCCACATTCTCGTCATCTCCGTAACTCATCACAAGCTATTGGGCAGCGCTCACCTCTGTGTGCGATCCTCAGGTCGTAATGGGAAATTCCACATTCCCCATGGCACTGGGATGGCAATTTGTAGCCAAGTCGACTCACCACAAAATGGCACTCGTTTTGTTGATCCTGGATAGATTATGAGCGAGGCCACCCTCCCAACGGGGATTTGAACTCCTGACCTTTAGGTTTCGAGTATGTCGCTCAACCACAGCGCCGTCTGGCCAGCATGCACACGCCACGGACTATTTTAATACCTCTGACCGGCCAGTTTGGTAAACTTGAGTTTAAGTCACCTATAAGTGTGAGCAAGTAACGGAAGTGCCGTGTGTGCTGACCCGCCTAAACAAAAAAGCATGTAAAATCCTCCTCCTGAAAGCGATTTAGTATTCCAGTGGTAGCTCTTTCAGATGCACTTTTTACAGTCGATTATTTCGGTGCCAGCTCTAAATCTTTTGCTCCGATTGCTGGGCGCTGTCCACTTCGTCCAGCGGTAGTCGTAGTTTAGTGTGCGATGCGCAGAGCGTTTACCGCAAATGCGCGCATGTGTGTGTGTGAGTGAGTGCGTGAGAGTGGGAAGTGGAAATGTGGTGGCGGTTAGCGTGCCGCACTTCGAACCCGGCGACCCGAGTTCCATTCCCGCTCACGGCCAACACCAGTGACGATTCTCAGAAACGGTCCTGGGCCTCCCCTAGGTCGGCTCAGCCTAAAATGAGTACCCGGTGCAGTGTGTAAACATCGCCACAGGGGAGACAAAGGCGGCCGGGCGTGGTGCTGGCAACCCACCCCGTCCTGTGGCCTGCTGGCCTAACAGCACTTGCCCCAACAGTCCGTTCAGACGATACGGAGGATCTTTGTCTTTCTGCGTGAGAGGGAGAGTGAGAGCAAGAGTGAGTGTGTGCGTGCGCGCGCAAAAAAAGGGGAGGTAAAATTCCTCATTTCCTAGTGTCTGGCCTCCCCGGTGGTCAGTTTAATAAACCGAGGCATTGTTGTGGCGCCTGATGAATGGATTACTTACAGAAGCCCTGTCAGCCTGCGACAGTGTAGGGATGAATGTGAAGATATATCGGGGAGGAGCCTGGGGGGGGGGGGTGTGTGAGCCGCACGGGGGGGGGGGGGGGGGGGGGGGGGTGGTGGAGGAGCCAAGGCATTGTTAGGCCACTGTAGAAAATCTGTGCTGTGGGAGCTGTGGAGGTGGTGGGAGAGGTGGGGAGCGGGGGGGATGAAGAAGAGGGGGGTGGATGCTTGATGCACATCATGTCGAGATGCCAGCGGAAAGTCCTGCAACTGTGGCATCTTCATGCGCTCGTTGTTTTGTTGACGCGCGCCGACCGCGACTGAAGGTTTTCCCTTGCGGTGCAGAATAATGATTTTACTCTTTTTAACGGTGTCCTGCCCCCAGTGATCCGACGAATTTTTGACGATTCGGGAATCACGATTCGATAAAAAATGTACATCTTAGCAATATTGTTTTTGGTGAACCTGCTGCTGCATTTGGCAGTGGTGCACAAGCGCAAATAAAATAACTAAACACGAGTCAAATAAAACTGTCTTAAAAGTTTATTATTGCAGAGGTTTCGGGCAGTGAGCCCTTCTTCACAGCACTTAGGGAGGCCTCTCCCGTGCGATGCTTTGGCGTTGACTTGTTTTGTTCTGCCTCGTGTTGTGCAGTTTTGTTCTCAGTGTAACATTCGGTGGACTGTTTTGCATACAGTTTGCATGAATCACAAATGATAGGTTCTCAAACGACTCGTTTGCATAATCGATTCACACACACAGTTACGAACCGATGTAGGCGTCAGTGCATAAAAAGATTTTAATCGGTGCAATAATTTCGTCGTTCCATGCCTTGTACAACTTCCTAATATAAAATGGATGTTTAAAAGTATGAAACTAACATTTGATACAAAAAAAATAAACAAATTACTTTTACAACAACAGTAATAATTTAATTTTAAAAAAATAATGCACAATATACAACAAAGACGGTCACTGCATTGCTCGCTTTCAAAATGCGCTTCTGCGGCCGTCTGGAATGCTCTTTCTTCCGATATTAGGAAGCTGCTGGAGCTATGCACTTTAAAATCTAGATTCAAAACTAATTTCTTTAGAACTGCTTTTAATGTTTAGTTTGTTGTCCTTCCCCCGCACCTCCAATTAAGCACAGTTGGCTATGTACGCTGCGAAAGAAGTTCAGCATGCATGCAACAACGTTAAATTCAATCAAATTTACTGTGACATACATTTGCTCGGTCAAATAACTTTTTTTTTTTCACTTAATGCGCTATTTCACCTGACCCACTGACCGTGCCGTTCAGCGCCGTGACCCACCGCCCGATTGACTGTACCGTGATCGCCATGTGGCCGTCAGCAGCACCAGGCCCTTCTCCACGTCGTCGGATCGGCGCGACGGTGCCGCTGGGGGCGGGGTGGGTGGCGGCGGGAAGATCGAGACGCTGGAGGACGTGGCGCGCCTCATCCGAGACGGGCACTGCAAGAACATTGTGCTCATGGCCGGCGCCGGCATGAGTACGGCCAGCGGAATCCCCGACTTCCGGTGAGCGGGGAAGGCTCGTCGTTTTGCCGTGTCGCGGTTTTCTTTCATGGATCGTGACGGTTCTGGATGGGGGAAATTATTTTTGAGTATCGATTCGTCTGTGCGATTTGTTTGATCGTATACTTACTTCGCGGTTGATTTTTATTTTGCATTGTTTGTACACATTTTTTAAAAAATTCCGTTAGCTTTAACGTAAGATTAGCGTATGAGTTACATTCTGAATAAGCAATTCTCAAAAACACCATGTATCCTTGAGTGTAAAAAAACTATTTTATTTCGTTTAAAATTTTTCTTTAGTTCTTATATTCAATGCTACTTCATTGAAAGAATAGCTTTACATGCATAACTTTGTGTTAATCGTGTGTTTTGGCCAAACACAATTGGTCGTGTTATTCGCCGCGCGCTTACTCTCCACTAAATCCCACATGTACAGTGCCCGGACAGAGGCTATTCACCTCGCCACGCCACGCGCAACACTGGCTTTACACTTCTTCTGGCTAAGTCGCAATCACCGGCCATGACGGGGAAAGTTTTTCATTTTATTATTTAGCCTTCCACCGTTTCTCCCTTTAACCACCACCCCTGCCCCCAACCACCGCACACACATCGCTCCTTCTCGTCCCTTCATATGCAGATGCAGCTCGCCCACCGTTCTGAATGCAAAATGCGCCAGGGCAAGCCGTTTAACGGATTATTTAATTAGGCCCCAAACGCAGGGGATTTTTGGGCCGGTGTCTAAATAGCCGGGCGTTGCACAAAGGCCCGGCGGGGGCAGGCAGCGAGGGTGTTTATTACCGGAGTGTTTGCGCTGGTGCCGTTTGTCATTGGGCTGCTGCAAAAGGGGTTCGCCGGGGGCCATCGTGTTGGGGGGGGGGGGTAGAGCGAGGATCGGGGTTGGAGCCGGGGCACCCCCTTTCACTTTTCCCTTGCACACACCGCACCCCCCCCCCCCACTCCTCCCGTGTGCCGCCTTTTCTTTGGGCCGCTTTTTTTTTGCTCGCTCGCTCCGGCTCTAAGGGAGAGTACGCGGCCCGTCGCGGCTTGGGCAAATAGCAACAGCTTCGCGACAGAGTATCCGACGAGCGATGGAGCCGGCCGTGTGTGTGCGTGGGGGTCCTGTTAAGTGAGCAGTAATTTTCGTTTGTGCGTGCGTGCGCGCTTTTGCGGGGTCGTGTGAATCTCGAGACGGATACATTTGCGGCGGCTTAAAATATTTAAGCAACCCCTCCTCTGCCCTTCCCACCCCCCACTGCCCCCCCACCCCCCCGCTGCCCCCCCCCCCCCCACTCATGAACTCCCATCTCCTTGGACAGGTCCTCACCAACTTAAAGGCTCGCGAAGGGGCCAGATGATAAGTGGCCGTGTTACAATGTGCCGTGTGCCACTTTTGCAGCGACCCAGCCGCAGTCACTTAATTTTTACATCATTTGAGTTTCCAATTAATAGGTGCTACATCACGGTACAGTTAAATTAAAATTATACAATCCAAGAAACGCTCTCATAAGTCTCAGTAGTTTTTTTCAGGATATCCCTATGTTGAGATGTACGGCCTTGTTGGTTAATGAAGTAGTATGTACCTGGGCAAAACCCACACTTAATAATAATGCCCGATCCAGGAAAGCCTTGAGGTTTTTTTTACTTACAGGAGGATCCTGCAGTGGAATATTTGGCCAATGGGATATGTTTGGCAGGTGGAAGGAAGCTGGAGAATGCAGAATAAAAGCCCATGTGTATGCGAGGAAAACGCTCGCACAGATAAGTTTAATCCACAGATGGAACCAGCACATTGAATTATCTGTGGACTCAACTTCATTGCTGTACTGCCATCTCTTGGCCACCTCACAACCCACGTCTCATACAAAGTGGCAATTCGCCGATTGTCTATGCCCTACACAAACACAGACAACTTACAATGTAATTGGTCCATAATAGAGGGGTTTTTTTTTTGGGTTAGATTGCATAAATATAAATGTGTAGCTAAACCCGTCAACACCCGACACAGCCAATTATTAAGGTTACGCATATAGAATAAGTCAATTTGTTACTTAGTACAGCACATCGGTGTGTTGGAGAGTAAACCCACCACATTTACAATTCGAGAACGACGTTTCGCCAGTAATTACAACGAGCATCACCAGGCGACAGTCCGATTTATATTAACGCGATCTAACCCAAAAAAAACCCCTTCCATTATGGATAATATTGATCGCGAAAGCCTACGTGTTAAACAAATGTAACTGGTACTCTTTGGTTTTATTCGGTAAAGTCACGTAGATAAAATAAAACAAAATAAAATAATTAAATCACCACGTTTCGGAAGCTTGTGTTGCCTCCGAAACGTCGTGATTTAATTATTTTATTTTATCTACGTGACTTTACCGAATAAAACCAAAGAGTATGAATCCTTGAATTCACGAAAGCTTCAAATCTAGAAAAAATGTAACAGGTATTGCCACAATATCCCAATGCTGGAAAATTACCTGCACAGCACTGAGTTGGGATTACACATAACAGCAATATCACCCCTTCCTCCCCCCACTACAGCAACTTGGCAGGGGGGGGACCCCCTTCTGAAAATGTTTCTCGAGACTCGGTGAAGCTTTTCCTGGTAAACAAATTAATGACAGGAATAATAGAAAACAATGTTATCCCCCCCCCCCTCTCCCCGCGTCTATTAAAACTTTTTATTTTGGCAGGTAAGGCCCACTCACCTATGTAACTCTTTTTCAGAAGCAACCTGGCCACAAATGATAGCTCAATGAAGTGGCTTATCAAGAGGGAATTTATTGCAGCTAAATACTCGAAAACACACGTTTCTAAATGTGGCGGGAAAAACCGGAGGACACGGAGAAAAATCCACGTGACTACGGGGAGAACATGCAAAACTCCAAATAAGCAGGCGTCAGGGTCGGGATCGAACCCACGACCTCCTGCACACCAGGCGAGGTAATTAACATCCCGCCGCCCGTTTGTGCGTAGGACGCCAGGCACGGGGCTGTACGACAATCTGCAGCGCTACCACCTGCCCTTCCCCGAGGCCGTGTTTGACCTCGACTTCTTTGCGGTCGACCCGAAGCCCTTCTTCACTCTGGCGCAGGAGCTGTACCCCGGCAACTGCCGCCCCAACGACGCGCACTACTTTGCGCGCCTGTTGCACGAGCGCCGGCTGCTCCTGCGCCTCTACACGCAGAACATCGACGGCCTGGAGAGTTGTGAGGGAGCCGCGGTTTAATTGGGGGGGGTGCTCGATGGGCATGCAACGATGCGTCGATCCGTCGATTTTTAGGTCTGATCGCCCCGATATCCCGATTGTGCCAGCGGTTGTCATGTCCTGTCATCTTGGCCACTGTTAAGAAAACCCAGTAGGCTTGGGTAGAACAATTTGCAAGAAGGCACGTTGGCCGAAGGTTGATACTGGTGATAGCGGCATCTAAAATGAGGGAATGCGCCTGCCAGCACGTCAACTGTGGAGATTGAGCGATGAATTCAGCTCGTGTGCACTGCTAGATCGATCGCTGCATCGCGAGACAGTGAGGGACGGCAGCGATTTGTGGCAAGGCCTTCATGCCGCAGTGGATAAGACCATGGCCGACGATAATGACGGCATCTCTCTGTATTTCCACACAAACTCCTTTCATCCTCACAGCAGCTTTTGGCTAGGCCATCAAATAAAGACAGTCACCGCATCGCGTGCTTTCAGATGCGCTTCTGCGGTCGTCTGGGAGACTCTACCTTCCGATATTAGGAAGCCACTGGAGCTGTGTACTTTTAAATCTAGATTGAAAACTAATTTCTTTAGAACTGCTTTTAGTGTTTTGTTTGTCGTCCTTCCCCCGCACCTCCGATTAGCACGGTTGGCTACGTACGTACGTATGTTGAACGTCTTTCACACCGTACATAGCCAACCCTGCTAATCGGAGGTGAGAAAGAAGTTTAACATACATGCGTAAGGTTCGAAAGAAGTTCAACAAACATACATACGTGTGCTGTGGTGCGATAGTGGCGGGACTGCCACCGGACATGCTGGTGGAGGCGCACGGGACATTCGCCAGCGCCACCTGCACGCAGTGCCGCAAGCCACAGCCGGGAGACCAAGTGCGGGTAGGAACTCTGTCGCGCGGTTGTCGCTCGCAACAACCGCTCTCATCGCCTCCGACGTGTGTCCGTTTACATATAAGGGAAATAGGCACCTTATTTCTGTTTGATGTTTCCGTAACTTAATTGTAATTGCACAACAAGCGGTCTAAAAATAATCTTCCAGAGTCGATGCGTTCTACGGGATAATCCTACAAATTACTGCCATTGATTCATGTACATGGATGATCAAATTGTGCATATGAGAATCGATTAATTTTTAATATATGCAAATAATAAGCAAACCGCACCTGCGATTACCATGGTTGGCTATGTATGGTGCGAAAGAAATTCAGCATACAGACAGACATACAAATCGTATGCCTAACTGTACTTCATAAAACAAGGCAACAACAAATACATGGGAAACGACACAAAAGACACGGCAAGAAATGAATTGAATTGTGACCCCGAACAAGCGGTATTAATCGATATCGCCGAGAGAGTTACTCGTAACATGCCGAGTAGCAAGCAAATCTACGATCGCAAGAATGTGCTCTAATTCACTGCTCAATAGATGGCATTCTTATTATCATCTTGAACAAATAGAGCGCCGTGAAGCTGGTGCAAGACAGGAGCAGGTGGAGAGGTCTCATTCAGAGCGGTGAGGCATTGGGGAGCGCACTGCGCTTGTGGACTCCGCAAACCATCTTTGATTCTTGGCCATGGCTAAAAACAGTGGCAAGCGATACCTGAACCGGTCCTGGGGAATCACCTTCACCAGCGTGGTGAAGTATGGACAAAACAATCCCACGACCCACACGGCATGGGGAGGCTTTCATCCACCAGCAGATTGACGACGGCTGTATATATATAAAAAATTGCCCAGATCTTAACTCGCTCGCTTGGTGTACAGGAGGTCGTGGGTTCAATCTCGACCCTGACGCCTGTATATTTGGAGTTTGCATGCCTCCCCGTGGTCCCGTGGATTTGTCTCCGGGTCCTCCGTTTTTCCAACACGTTTAGAAACATGCTTTTAGAGTGTTTGGCTTCTATAAATGTCCACGTGATAGGCCACTTTGCTGAGCTATCATTTATGGCTATGTCGCTTCTGAAAAGAGCTACATATCTCAGTGGTCCCTATTTGATAAAATAAAGACGTAGTTTAGTTTATACATTTCTCTTTGATGTGCACTGCTTATATTTGACCGTGCATCCACGCGATATTATTTGACTTAAATATTGTTTCTCTTTCCCTCCCAGCGCACCGTCATGAGCGGCAAGATCCCCCACTGCGGCGCGTGTTCCGCCGTCGTTAAGCCCGACATCGTGTTTTTTGGCGAGGACCTTCCCAGGCGCTTCTACGCCTACGACCAGGACTTCTCCATGGCCGACCTGCTCATCGTCATCGGCACCTCGCTGGAGGTGAGGTCTTGGGCGGTCGCGGTCGTTGACCCGCTTCACACCGATCCCGCCGAGTCGTCGTGTCGCTCGCGAACGACTTCACGCTTGCACGGCACAGTTCGTCGGCGCAGCGTTACCAAAGTGAGCCATTTGTCACGCAGCAAACTTGGAGAGAGGAGAGGGCCCTGTGACGTGCGTAGCCAACCGTGCACATCGGATGTGGGCTGTAAGATTTGGGAGGGCCATTGCTCACTTTGCACACTTGTCATTGTGCTAATGAGCAAGGCGAGGGTGCGTGCTAAGAATTCCACCAAGAGGTAGGAAGAAGAACACATGGATGAGAGAGGGACCTCTGGTTAAAGAGCTTCGTTTGAGGGCCTTTACGCGGAGGGGTCGTTGAGTTTGGCTGTCGAGACTTGGGAATGGGAAAGGATTTTGCTTTAGGGTGCTGCCAGGAGGCACCCTTTAGGAAGCGAGCTCACATGGGGGCATGGGGGCCAGGAGAAGACCCCTAGGCGTTGGCAGCAAAGGGGTGCAACGCTGCCATGTGCCATCTTGGTGTGTGCTGCTCCTCGCCTGACTTCCTGTTGGTGGTAGTGGTCGTGTAAGCATTTCGCTCATTGCGCTACGAACCTGGCAACCCGAGTTCGATTCCTGCTCATGGCCAATACCAGTGAGTGAATATTTGAGCAGTCCAGGGCTTCCCCTAGGTCGACTCAACCTAAATTGAGTACCCAGTGCGATGGCGTAAAAACATTGCCATTCCGGCCTTCATAGGCACCCGCTAACAGCACTGGCTTCAACCGTCCGTTTAGGCTATACGGGGGGATCTTTGCCTTTTGGTGGCGGCGTGCGCAGGTGATGCCGTTCGCGGGTCTGGTCAGCGCGGTGCGGCCCGGTGTGCCGCGGCTGCTGCTGAACCGCGAGGCGGTGGGCCTCTTCCGCCGCGCCGCCTCTTCCCCGACGGACGTGGCGCACTTGGACGACGTGGTGGCTGGCGTGCGGCGACTCACAAACCTCGTGGGCTGGGACGCCGAGCTGGATCGTCTCATCGCCACCGAGAACAAGCGCGTGAGTTTGCAACGACGGCAACAGCAATGATGATGTCGTGGTCGAAGGTGAAGGCGCAGCCCCGCAATTTGTTGCTCATGGCCACTGCCAGCAGAAAAGTCTCCACGACAGGGAGATCTCTGGAGGGCCCCTTGATAAGGTTAGTTAAGCCTACTCTTTTAAGATAGCCACACATTCCCAGACTCGCTTTCAGGAACGTCCGAAACAATTATAGTTTTTTTGGCCAGTTGACTTTGAATGAGTGTTTTGCTTTGTTCAGAATAAAACCTTAGAACCCAGATAAGCCAACAGAGCATACGTGGGCATAACACTCAAAGGTCCACATAGACACGTTCATGAACCCACTTGCTGTACTGCAATGGCCACCTCGCGTGAAACCTAGCAGAATTTTGAAGTATCGCAAATCTGTGATCCACCAACCCTTGCCTCCAAAGTCATGGTTCATAGTTGTATGCCACCATGGCCAGCTAACATGCTAGAGATTGGTCGTCGATGCCATTGTGTTCGAATGGGTCTTTCGGGATTTAACAGTAGCCACGAGGTTTATACTCCAAGACCCATGGGCCGTCTCTGACCTATTTCATTTTGTATTTGGCCCAAAATCCGTTAAAAAAAAAAAGTTAGAAAAGTTACCGTTGCCTTCCCGCAGGTTACGCACGGACAAAGCGAGAGCACAAACGCCCCTCCGATTAGCACGGTTGGCAACGTACGGTGGTGAAAGAAGTTAAACGTGCATGCATACAAACGTCTTTCCGTACGGATGGAATTCCCCAAAAAAAACCCCTTTCGCAGTCGGTGCCCCCGCAAAAATCATCCATCCTCCGAGCCTTTCATTCAGCTCCCTTTATGTTTCTGCAGTGGAGCAACGTCCGAATACAGCGTCTTTCCGCCGGCTGTCCACTGACACCGAAACGCGTGGGGTTTTTTGTGCGCAAGCACGGCGAGGCTTATCAACGATGCTTAAAATATATTTCACGTGCAAGTGTGTGTGTCTTTGAAATGGTGGGGGGTGGCGGTGTAGTGGTCAGTGCGCTGCGCTATGAACCCGGCGACTCGAGTTCGATCGCCGCTCACGGCCAACACCGGTTATGACTATCTGAACCTGGTTATGGGGCCTCCCCTAGGTCGACTCAGCCTCAAATGAGTACCTGGTGTGGTGTGTAAATATCACCACTAGGGAGACGAAGGCGGCCAGGCGTGGTGTTGGCCACCCACCCCCTCATGTGCCGTGCCGGTCTTCATAGGTGTTCGCCAACAGCACTTGCCCCAACAATCTGGTCAGGCTATATGGGGGTCTTTGCTTCTTTGAAATGCAACGCCGTTTTTCATTAGTATCGTCAAGAATCTGACATATGATCGTTCGCTGTAAAACATAATAACAATGCTCGCCTTTATGAAAGCTAGACGTGGGACAATTCGTCGATTGTTTAACTTAAGGTACGCGCACTGAGTTGGCCATGTAAGCGCTGTGTTTTGAATTTATATTAATTGCATACCCCAATCCGATGACCAAATCGTCAGATCTCAAAAATTGAGCATGGGTTGAGCTTGGATGGGCAACCACCATGCATGCCAGGTTGTCAACACCATCTGCGAGATTTTGCTACAATGCGGGCAGCAGAGGGCAGTGCACCAAATGCATTGCTATATTTGCTTCTATACTGTTACCATCAATGGTACCATGCCTTCATCAACCCGCACCGACCAGCGTGGTGAAGAATGGTTAAATTTGAACCCCCATGACCCGCACAGCATGGGGGGGTGGGGGGGGGGGTGCTTTATCCAGCAATGGATTGACAAAGGGCTGTACGTGTACTTGAAGAAGTGATACGATCAGCTCCGCAGAATTGAAGGGGCGTGAGTTGACCCCAATAGGTATTAGAAACTCGCTGCTTTCGTGAGCCACGTGTTGCCAACCTCTGCGCCACGTGGGACAAAATGTTATGGATTCACGCCAAACCTCACGCTTGTGTTTTATCTCCCAAGTTGGACAAGGAGCTGGCCAAGGAGGACGACGGTCCAGCCGACAACGGGAAAGCGGGCACCAAGAACGGGCCCGGCAAGAGGCCCTCCGGCGACGGCGCGGCGGGCAGAAGGGGCCTCCACACGGCGAGCCGCGTGGCCCCCGCGACCACGGCGCCGGCGAAACCGTGGGCTGGCGTGATGGCGGCGCGCGCAAACGCACGCCGGCAGAACGCGCCGCCTCGCGCCATCGACGCGGCGTCTTCGGAGAGCGACAGCGATAGCAGCGGCGACGCCTCTTCCGATTCGTCGTCCGGAGCCAGCCTCTGAATGGTGGACGCGATCCGATTTAATTTTAAGTGGCATGGCGCTAAGCGGCATGTGACCCTCCCACCAACAACAAGTAACCATCGCTGAAGCACTACCGGGTACTCGCCAAAGAAAGGGTGTCAAAGATTGGGTGCCACTTGGTGTCTAGAAATCATCTTGCGTTTGCATTAGTGTTGCTCATGCTTGTTTTCCAGCCTTCGTGCACTTTTCTCTGTGATTAATTTCTAACCATTAGAACCGCTTTATTGTGGGACACTGATTTGTGAAACATCGCACTTATCTATTTAAAAGCACAGTTGTGCCATTATTAAAGTTGTTGCTGCTGCAGCAGCAATCTTATTCAATCATTGACGGTTTAAGCAAATGTAAAAATTATGAAAATTGCAAATTGGAATAATTAATGGGTTCTTTTGTTTTACTTTAACGTTGTTGTGAATTTAAATTCCGATAGCAGGGTTCTGCACTGTACAAATTCACTTATGCAAAATGTATAGCATGACATTTGTGGGTTACCACAGTGAATGGAGTTTTAGGACGAGTCTTGAAAAACAACTTGAAGATTTATTTTTATTATGACAGTAAAAATCTTTACCGAGCAGATGCCCATCGGAATCACACGACCGTATCTTCATTTCGATTCTGCTTGGCTTGCGTAACAGGGCTGCCATGATGGTGAGATGTTAACTACCTCGCCTGATATACAGGAGGTCGATGGGTTTGATCCCGACCCTGATGCCTGTATATTTGGAGCTTGCATGTTCTCCCCGTAGTCACGTGGATTTTTCTCGCGGACCTCTGGTTTTTCCCTCCACATTTAGAAACATGCATTCAGAGCAGGGGCAGAGCCAGAGGGGGGGCTGGGAGGGGGGGCTTAGTCCCCCCTGAAATTTTGGGAAAGTCGGTAATCGGGATAACCGGATATCCGGCTGCTGCAAAATGCTGCTGGCTGCCACCTTGTGCTGCCCTGCAGGCTGCCACCTTGTGCTGCCCTGCAGGCTGCCACCTTGTGCTGCCCTGCGGGCTGCCACCTTGTGCTGCCCTGCAGGCTGCCACCTTGTGCTGCCCTTCAGGCTGCCACCTTGTGTGCTGCCCTGCAGGCTGCCACCTCGTGCTGCCCTGCAGGCTGCCACCTTGTACTGCCCTGCAGGCTGCTTGAGCAGCAGCCTTTCGAACTTATTAGCCACATCAGCGGCTCCGACCTATTAATAAAATCCGCGTTCAAATCCAATAAAATTTGTTTTATACATTTGTGGCGCCCATTGGAAAACATTACACTGGATATTTCAGAATATTGAAGTCAGCCCCCCCAAAGTCAAAATCCTGGCTCTGCCCCTGGTTCAGAGTATTTGGGCAGCTAGAAATATCCAAACGATAAGCCACTTGATTGAGTTATCATTTGTGGCCAGGTCACTTCTGACAAAAAGCTGTATAGCTCAGCAGGCCTTACCTGGTAAATTAAAAACTGGTTTAGTTTATACCTGATGACGGCTGCTTGTGTTGCAATCGAAACGTCGTACTCTATTATTTAATTTATTTCATTTTTACGTGACTTTACTGAAAGAACCAAAGAGTAATTCCTGCAGTCACGAAAGCTTCAAATCAAGTTTGAACTAGTTTATAGTTTAACTTTAGTTATTTTTCGAATACCATCACACGATGTTCACGCGACGGTTTACCTTATCAGCATGACGGGTGTGTGCACGGCGGCCCTGCCTGTTCTCCGCAGGTCTCTTGTGCGTGAGCGCTTCATTGAATCGCGAGCACTCCTTGGCAGATTTGAATTCACACATGGCAGTGCTTCAGCTGCTGCTGCTGTTGATTCTGGCAAGACGCCCTGATCACGTTCGTTCTAGGATACGAGCATCGCACAAAGGATATCGTTGCGCACTTCACAAGCCACGGAGTGAACTCAGGGCGAGTTTGTCAAGGCAAAAAAACTGGCAACTGGTGTTATCCACTGGTCAGGCTATATCGACATTTAAAAAAGAAAAATTGTTTCAGGGCGAGGATGTTCGACTTGTTTACCTTGTGGGCTATGCCACTTTCTATAAAGCCACGAACTGACGTCGGAACTCTTCGTTGAACGGCAGCAGGCACATTTGCCAGCTGGTGCAGTTGGGGTCGACTCTTTTGCCCTGAGCTGTTGAAGTCATTGCGGTTTCATCGTTGGGTGTATAAAATGTAAAAAAAAGAACAAAAATATTTTTAGAACAGTATTACAGCAAACATTGCGGTGTATTTTTTGTTATTAATCACATAAATGATGGGTTTTATCATATTGGTTTATTACGCGTTATATTATGCTCTCCGTATACATGGCAGTATTCAAAACATACAACCTGGGATTCATTTTGAAAGTGATAATCACTATAAAACTTATTTTATTCCGGTAACATGATTGTAAATCCATTGTGCTGCGTCGTGCAAATAAAGCAATATATTTTTTCCAAATGGCCGCGTACACAATACTGTTCTAAATCCAATTATAGCGAGTTTTTTTTTTATTAAATTACCTTTGCCTGTAACAAAGAGAAGCTCTTCATTGTGTTAAGCAGCGACGGCGAGGCTCCGGCACCCCCCCCCCCCCCCCCCCCGCTTTAACCCCGGGCGGTGCGCTGGCTTTGTGCTGCTCCGTTAGAATATAATTGATTCCTTCCCCTTTTCAGGAGCCGTTAGCGTTGACGTGTTTTGACTCTCGCGACGGGCTCCGGGACCGCCCGAGGCTCAATGGGGAGAGCGGCAAACACTCATTAAAAGGGATTTTCGGGCTGTCCCTTAAACCGGTCATCCGCCGTTTAAGTGTCTTCACCCCCCCCTCCCCTCCATCTCGCATGTCCCCTTCACAGCTCAAGAGGCCGATGCCCCGGGTTGGGACGGCTCATATGGCAGGGGATGGGGTGGAGGCGGCGCGTGCACTCGCCATCGTCGTCGCTATTGCCCCAAGTTTTCGGTGCGCCCCCCCCAACCCACCCACCCACGCACCACCACCACCCAACCCCAACATAAAAAAGCCATCAAAACAAACCGGGTGTAGTTGAATTGCCGGCGAGTGGGTGGCTTGCCCCTAATTCTGAAATGACAAAGCGAAGTGCGTCGTGAAAGGTTGAGCCGGGCGGTGGCGTCGCAACCCGGCAATCCACCACGTTGGCGGCACTCGTTGGTGGATCACGTAGATTAGTGACATTGGATTGTTTTGTTGTTTTATGAGGTGGGGTTATGTAGGGGTGACGTCTGGTGGTGTTGGTGGCGGTGCAAGTGCTCCCACTGGGCTGTGATGAGGGTCAGGAGATGGCAGGACATTGAGTGGAGTCATGAGCTCGTCTGTACGGCGAACCTTGCATTATATTTCGTCTTGAATGTGTGGTCGGTTTTAATCTGGGTGTTTTTATTCACACACACACAAAGCAGAACAGCGCCTTCAAATTTAAAAGGCAATTCCCCAAACATTCCCATCAAGGTGTAGGATCCTCCTGATAAAGCTTGAGCTTTGGTGACGCTGCCTGGGATAAATACATAAGATCACAACCATCATCATATGCGGTGCAAAAGAAGTCCAACATACATACACCATGCATGTTATAAATCAATACCCACAATCTGTAACAGTTGCCGAAAAACATCAGAACTAATCAACCGTAAAAGACGGACCTTTATTATTAGCATCTATAATGTTGGTTTTGTTTGTGGTCAATTCAGAAGCGCGCATTTGCTTGCTTGCCTCCACGCACATTCCAATCAAGCGTGGGCGCCGCCGATGATCGGATTCGTCATTGACGCTTGTAAATATTTATACCCTCGCTCGAGATGCACCGACAAACCCATTCACCCGTCCAACCACTTGCCGGCCAGCCAGCCAGCCAGCCCGCCCCAACCGGCCACAACCTACCCCAGCCCTTTCCTACCACCATAGAAAAGAAACCGCGATTCTTCCTTATATACTTTACAACGCGACCCGCTCGCCGCCTCTGCGGATAGCCATGACAACGGAGCGCGCACAAGGCGGAATATGCTAGAATAACGAGACGCGGGCCCCTCGGCTAAACAGCCCAAAACCTAATTGCCTCTTTTCTTTGTGATCCGTGGCCAAATAAAGCGAGACCCGCGCTCCAATTAAGCCGTCAGCGGCGCGCATTCCCCATCGGGCCGCCCGCGTCTCCCGGCCGCTGCTATGGCTACAGGTGCCTAGCCGTGCTTGGTGGCTATGGTGGGACGGGTGGTGGTGGTGGTTGATGGTGGTTTTGCACTTGATGGTAGTGGTGCTGCTTGCTCTTGCCGCTAATGGTTGGTGGCTGTGGTGGGAGTGGTGCTGTTGGTGATGCCTGTGGTGGGAATGGTGCTGTTGGTGATGCCTGTGGTGGGGACGGTGCTGTTGGTGATGCCTGTGGTGGGGATGGTGCTGTTGGTGCTGTTGGTGATGCCTGTGGTGGGGATGGTGCTGTTGGTGCTGTTGGTGATGCCTGTGGTGGGGATGGTGCTGTTGGTGCTGTTGGTGATGCCTGTGGTGGGGATGGTGCTGTTGGTGCTGTTGGTGATGCCTGTGGTGGGGATGGTGCTGTTGGTGATGCCTGTGGTGGGGATGGTGCTGTTGGTGATGCCTGCGGTGGGGATGGTGCTGTTGGTGCTGTTGGTGATGCCTGTGGTGGGGATGGTGCTGTTGGTGATGCCTGTGGTGGGGATGGTGCTGTTGGGGATGCCTGTGGTGGGGACGGTGCTGTTGGTGATGCCTGTGGTAGGAATGGTGCTGTTGGTGCTGTTGGTGATGCCTGTGGTGGGGATGGTGCTGTTGGTGATGTTGGTGATGCCTGCGGTGAGGATGGTGCTGTTGGTGATGCCTGTGGTGGGGATGGTGCTGTTGGTGCTGTTGGTGATGCCTGCGATGGGGATGGTGCTATTGGGGATGCCAGTATTGGGAATGGTGCTGTTGGTGATGGCCGTGAGCGGGGGGGGGGGCAACGCCCCTCCCGAACTGGACACCTTTATTAATTTATTATCAGTAGTTTGCAATAAAGAATATAAATACATGAATTACATGCACCCGCGATGCCAAATGTGAGGGACAAAGCATACCCCCCCACCCCCCAGATATAGAAGTCAAACTCCGCCTATGGTGATGCCTGTGGTGGCGGGGAGCGGTGGCGCAGCGGTTGGCGCTACGCTGCGCTACGAACCCGGCGACCCGGGTTCGATTCCCGCTCACGGCCAACACCGGTGACGATTATCTGAACCGATCCTGGGCCTCCCCTAGGTCGACTCAGCCTCAAATGAGTACCTGGTGGGGTGTGTAGACATCGCCACTAGGGAGACAAAGGCGGTCAGGCGTGGTACTGGCCTTCATAGGTGCTCGCTAACAGCACTTGCACGTACAGTCTGTTAAGGCTATACGGAGGATATTTGTCTTTGGTGCAGTTGATGGTGATGGTAGTGTTGTACTTGATGGTGATGTTTGGTGGGGAGTGATGTTGTTACTCCTCTCGCTGCTTATGGTAGTGCCTGCGGTGGTGGTGCAGTTGTTGGTGGTGTATTTGACGGTGGTGTTTACTGGTGGCGATATTGTCCGTGGAGGTGATGCTGCGCAATTGTCCGTGGGCTACGCTGCGCCCAGTAAACAGAGCTTCATTCCCAGCCTCGGATAACACC